CCACCCCCTCCAGCCCACACACCACCACCCCCCCAAGACTCCCCATGCAACTGAGCATCATGAGCCAACGCTCATGAAAAACTGCCCAGAGGGAGATAAGGCCCTAGGACCTTCTCCACTACTCTCTCCAGCCATGCCACCTGTAGTGATGCATCACCTGAGAGCCTCGAGGCAGCTGCCTCTCAATCACCGCTTGATGATGGGCAGCTGAAATTCAGGACCTGGTCCTTCTTATGTGGCAAAGTACTGGAGGTGTGCTCATACAGCTCCAGCCACTTTTGTGTCCAAAGAAAGTGGTGGGGCACATCTGAGACAACGCAGCCCTCTTCTCCTGCTGCATCGGGAAGGGAAAGATCACCATGCTCGTCCTGATGGATGTAGGTATGCTCCTCATTGAAGATACATGGGTGCAAATGAAATACTATCATGTCTTTCTGGAAATGACAGAAATGACGACTGGGAAGGACACTCTGGAAGGAACTCTGTTGATTGTAAGTGTTCTGTTTCTCCTCTGCTGCTCCTCACCCTTTGAAATCCTACCACAGTGCTCCTGCCAGCACCACGCTCTCAGCTGACCATGACCCGGGCAGCCCCTTGGGAGCTCTAGTCCAAGAAGTTCTTATGCCACCAGGCTCTTGGGACATTCTGCACCTTGGCCACACCAGGGATGCCCCAGAGCCTGAGTCCCTGTTGGAGCGTCCCAACTGCTGCGCTCACAAAAAAAACAGGCAGTTTGTGATGTGGCACCATGTCTTTGCTGGGCAGCACCTGCTCGTTAGAAGTCTGGGCTAGTGGTGATGAGAGAGCACCTGTGAGTGGTTCAGAGAGGCAGTGTCATCTCATGGTGGTGGGAAGCCGGCCATCTTGGTGGGCAGAGAGGTCATCTCCCTGGCCATCACCTCCTCCAGCCCTGTTCTCCTCTGCTGCAGGTCCTAGGGATGGTGGACTTGATGATATCTTCTAAAGCAGCCACAGCTTCCCTGGCTTTCTCTGTCTGGGTTATCTTTCCACAGTGTGTGGTGTTTGCCCATAGTCCTCAGCTGACCCAGGGTTTGCCTGCAACAGGCAGATGCTGGGGACTGCTGCCTCCAAAGCAGCTGGTCCCAGTTCCTTCTTGGCTGCTCTTGTTCCTCACCACTATACGTGGCATGGTGGGTGGCTTTCATCTCTGTCCCTGGCAGGTGGTCATGCCATTAGCAGAGCTCTGGGCCATTCAGGGGAACTCAGGTGACACTGATGTTCCATCACAGGCTGTGCTGCTCTGCTGGGTAACACTCAGGATAGTCCCGGGGTGTGGTGTGCTCGGCTTTGGTAACTGCTGGCCATCACGGCATGGCCAAAATGGCTCTGTGGGCTGGTGAATGAAAGGGATCGTGGTGCCTCGAGTCATGCCAGCACATTCTCCTTCCACACAGGTTTGAACTGGGGTATGTCCATAAACCACCACCCAGGGACGTCTACAAGGGCCCCAGAAAGCCCTTGGATGAGGCCAGGTAGAAGGATGAGCTTTTGCCATGTCCCAGGCGGGAGGAGGAAGGTAAGGCAGCAGCTGGCTCCTTTCCACAGCACAGGAAACCAACATGTGTCCGTATGACCAGGAAAATCCCCTGCGGTGATTGCACAAAGGCTCCTCATCTGATCCGTGACGTCACGGCCTGGGAATAAGGATGTGCCATGGAAATGCCAAGCTGGACGAGAGCCAGCACCAGAGAGGGTCTGAAAAATCCCAGAAAGCGTGGCTGCAGGAGAACCTAAGGGCCCTCTGACGCTTCTGGGGTGGGCAGCGTCAGGGCGATGCTCTCCTGTTGGGCTTTCTCCTTTCCAGCTCCAGGGACCCAGCCTGATCTGTGCCTCCAGCCCCGTGCCCTGAGCCCTGGGGGAAGGGAGCAATGGGCAGAGGAGCGAGCCTGCGGGCAGGCGAGGAGTGTGATGGGTGGTAGGAGGGGACACTGTGCTCTTGTGCTTGTGCGAGGGAGCCATCTCCCTTGGCCTCAGAGCAGGCATCTCCCTGGCAGGCTGTTATTGACGTGAGCGATGGCTGGTGTATGGCAGGTCCACCTCCCTCCATGGTGGATTAAAGTTCACCCTGGTCCCTCATGGCTGATTCCTGACCGGCTGGCACCGTGTTTCACACTCATCTTAATGAGTCCGTGCCCTGCTGCTACCATAGTCCAGGTTTCTCTTTGTGCCAGCAGAAAATAGTGGTCACAGGCACCATTTTTCTTCTTTTTTTACATCACAGCCAGAAAGAGAAGTGTTCCTGAAGCTGCCGGGAAGCCTCTAGCCCCTGCCTGGCTGATGTGGCGCTGCCCTGGCTGGGTCCTTGCCCCATCCCCTCCCTGCTTCACAGCCCCAGCGCGTGTACGCGCCCTCACGCGCAAGATGCTCTCTGCCCTGGCACCACACCAGCAGTTCTACTGAAGTCCAGAAAGATTAGCGCTGCCGTATCTAACCAGCCTGGTAAATCATTTTCTGGGTACTCCACAGAGGCTTTTGTAGTAGGTGGGGGACAGCTAGATGAGCTGGAGGGGACTGGATCGATAGCGTGTCAGTGCTGACCCCAGCAGCCTTCCTGTGAGGAGAACAAGGGGTTTAGCTTCTTGTAGGAAGCTGCTATAGGCATAGGGCGTGACCAAATCCAAATGTTTTACGAGGTATTTAAAAGTCACAGACAGACATGGTGGTGAGGGACATGGTTTAGTGGTGGTTCCCTTCTTGTAGGAAGCTGCTATAGGCATAGGGGTGACCAAATCCAAATGTTTTATGAGGTATTTAAAAGTCACAGGCAGACACGGTGCTGAGGGACATGGCTTAATGGTCGTTCCTTCTTGTAGGAAGCTGCTATAGGCATAGGGCGTGACCAAATCCAAATGTTTTACGAGGTATTTAAAAGTCACAGACAGACATGGTGGTGAGGGACATGGTTTAGTGGTGGTTCCGGCAGTGTTAGGGTGATGGTTGGACTCGATGATCTTAAAAGTCCCTTCCAACCTGGACAATTCTGTGATTCTAAATCAGACCTGTGGGCTCCAAAATTGCTTTTAGCTGTTTAAATCTCAGGCTCCAGCAGGCACTAGGACCTGCCTGAAGCCTGAGCCTGTTCAGAGGGGATAAATATAGCACATCCCAGCACAGCCAGTACAGGCTGCTGGGGAAGCTCCCCGATCCCCCAGCAAGCCGGTGCCTGAAGGCCACACGGAGGAGGCCATCTGGGAGTTCTACCACGGGGAAAGGTGGTGCTGGTGGCCCCTCGGCCTCATATACGTGGCATGGTGGGTGGCTTTCATCTCTGTCCCTGGCAGGTGGTCATGCCATTAGCAGAGCTCTGGGCCATTCAGGGGAACTCAGGTGACACTGATGTTCCATCACAGGCTGTGCTGCTCTGCTGGGTAACACTCAGGATAGTCCCGGGGTGTGGTGTGCTCGGCTTTGGTAACTGCTGGCCATCACGGCATGGCCAAAATGGCTCTGTGGGCTGGTGAATGAAAGGGATCGTGGTGCCTCGAGTCATGCCAGCACATTCTCCTTCCACACAGGTTTGAACTGGGGTATGTCCATAAACCACCACCCAGGGACGTCTACAAGGGCCCCAGAAAGCCCTTGGATGAGGCCAGGTAGAAGGATGAGCTTTTGCCATGTCCCAGGCGGGAGGAGGAAGGTAAGGCAGCAGCTGGCTCCTTTCCACAGCACAGGAAACCAACATGTGTCCGTATGACCAGGAAAATCCCCTGCGGTGATTGCACAAAGGCTCCTCATCTGATCCGTGACGTCACGGCCTGGGAATAAGGATGTGCCATGGAAATGCCAAGCTGGACGAGAGCCAGCACCAGAGAGGGTCTGAAAAATCCCAGAAAGCGTGGCTGCAGGAGAACCTAAGGGCCCTCTGACACTTCTAGGGTGGGCAGCGTCAGGACGATGCTCTCCTGTTGGGCTTTCTCCTTTCCAGCTCCAGGGACCCAGCCCGATGTGAAGGGAGCAATGGGCAGAGGAGCGAGCCTGCGGGCAGGCGAGGAGTGTGATGGGTGGTAGGAGGGGACACTGTGCTCTTGTGCTTGTGCGAGGGAGCCATCTCCTTTGGCCTCAGAGCAGGCATCTCCCTGGCAGGCTGTTATTGACGTGAGCGATGGCTGGTGTATGGCAGGTCCACCTCCCTCCATGGTGGATTAAAGTTCACCCTGGTCCCTCATGGCTGATTCCTGACCGGCCGGCACCGTGTTTCACACTCATCTTAATGAGTCCATGCCCTGCCACTGCCATAGTCCAGGTTGTTCTTTATGCCAGCAGAAAATAGTGGTCACAGGCACCTTTTTTTTTCTTTTTTTACATCACAGCCAGAAAGAGAAGTGTTCCTGAAGCTGCCGGGAAGCCTCTAGCCCCTGCCTGGCTGATGTGGCGCTGCCCTGGCCGGGTCCTTGCCCCATCCCCTCCCTGCTTCACAGCCCCAGCGCGTGTACGCGCCCTCACGCGCAAGATGCTCTCTGCCCTGGCACCACACCAGCAGTTCTACTGAAGTCCAGAAAGATTAGCGCTGCCGTATCTAACCAGCCTGGTAAATCATTTTCTGGGTACTCCACAGAGGCTTTTGTAGTAGGTGGGGGACAGCTAGATGAGCTGGAGGGGACTGGATCGATAGCGTGTCAGTGCTGACCCCAGCAGCCTTCCTGTGAGGAGAACAAGGGGTTTAGCTTCTTGTAGGAAGCTGCTATAGGCATAGGGCGTGACCAAATCCAAATGTTTTACGAGGTATTTAAAAGTCACAGACAGACATGGTGGTGAGGGACATGGTTTAGTGGTGGTTCCGGCAGTGTTAGGGTGATGGTTGGACTCGATGATCTTAAAAGTCCCTTCCAACCTGGACAATTCTGTGATTCTAAATCAGACCTGTGGGCTCCAAAATTGCTTTTAGCTGTTTAAATCTCAGGCTCCAGCAGGCACTAGGACCTGCCTGAAGCCTGAGCCTGTTCAGAGGGGATAAATATAGCACATCCCAGCACAGCCAGTACAGGCTGCTGGGGAAGCTCCCCGATCCCCCAGCAAGCCGGTGCCTGAAGGCCACACGGAGGAGGCCATCTGGGAGTTCTACCACGGGGAAAGGTGGTGCTGGTGGCCCCTCGGCCCCGGCTGCCGATGCTCCAGCTCTCCCAGGTCACCTCCTCGCTGCTCATCAGCAACGCCAAGGCTGCCTGCAACGAGGAGCTGCTCAGGAGGGAGGGAGTCACCTTCTGCGTGAATGTCACCAGGCAGCAGCCCTTCCCCGACCTCCAGCAGGTCCGGGGCATCCGTGTGCCCGTGTTCGACGACCCGGCCGAGGACCTGTACCGGTATTTCGGGCAGTGCAGCGACGCCATCGAGGAGGCCGTGAAGAGCGGCGGGAGGTGCCTGGTTTACTGTAAGAACGGCCGCAGCCGGTCGGCCGCCGTCTGCACCGCCTACCTCATGAGACACAGACAGCTCCCGCTCCAGGATGCCTTCCAGGTATCGTACCTACACCCGGATTTGTATTTTAAACCACCTTTCTGGTAAGAAAAGCCATGCTTATTACGACTAGTGATGATTTCTCATAGAATTATTTGGGTGCTGTCAGCTGTTTATTAGCGGTTATATGGATATCTAATATTTGACTAAAAATCCCACTGTAAGTTTTTCCCACCCCCCCCCCGCCCCAGCTCAGACAACGGGAGGTTTCTGGGACAAACAAAATTACAAATGCACACAGGCTTTAAGCTGCTTGTTGGGTGAACATTTTTCCCTGTCGTTTGCTTAGTCAGGATAAGGGAAGTTAGAGACAGAGACACAGAGCAAATGAGCCAAGTGGATGCGAGTGTGCGCAGGGGCTGTTTTACAGGATTTGCTCTTGTCACCGATGCAAAGAGCCACAGAAAGCCCTGTCAGGCCTGCCGAAGGGCTCGGGACCAGCCAGCTACCAGCAATAACATCTCAACTGTATTAGGAAGCCCATCCAATACACGACTCATCTCCTATGGTCGTTTAGTCTTCACCCATTTGGTAGGTGTATCACTAAAGTCTCTAGTTTAGATAACCCTTTTGCTCAGTACCAGGCAGATACACGACCAAGTTTTGAGCTACCTTAAACACGAGAGGGGTCACCACACTGTGTGAGAGACACTCACATTTCCAGCAAATCCAACAGCTCCTTTCCATGTCCTGCCCATGAATCCATTCCGTAACAGGGACCACATACCAGGAAGTCTTAGCAAGCACAGAGTGAGTGCTAAGGCTAAAATATCTGTTTATTATTCCGTAGCCAAATCAAAACCAAAGATAATCTTCTCAAAAATTTAGAGGGAAAAAAAATAGAATCTGTTTGCATGATACCAGCCCTTGCTTCTGCAATGTCTCTCCTTTTCCCCAGGCTGTGAAGGCTGCCAGACCAGTAGCAGAACCCAATGCAGGATTTTGGTCCCAGCTGCAGAGATATGAAGAAGATTTGCAGATACCAAAGCAGCCTGATCTGCTGAGCAAAGGACTTAAAAATAGCAATGTGTGAAGATGCTTTAAAGAGAGTTGAGTGGGTTGCTACAGATTTAAATAAGTTAAGGGAAAAAAAAGTTACTTCATACACTTCATATATCTCCTATAAATAAAATGCCTTACCCCCCAAATGGGGCTGATTAAATTAATTCAGAGCGTGACCACTGAAGGTGCCTGGGAAAGGGGCAGATAATCAGGAGAAACAGCAGAAAGGGCTGTAAACAAACCAGAGAAAGGCATGGCATCTTCAGCGTCTATTTCTTCCTGACCAACACTGAATATGATAAAAATGTATTGAACGAATTAATAAGTTACTACATAGGGGTTTTACTCTTGGTTTTTAACTGAACTTCTCAGTGACGTTACAAGAAGACCTAATGCCAGACCAAGGAAGTTTTGAATTTCTATCTCTCCTACTGGATCATAATTCACGTTCATGAGACGACACAAACTTTGGTGAGAAACCAACACTGGAAATGCTTAGTCTCTGCCTCAGTTCTGCATTTTCTTTATGTTCAACATAGACCAAAAACACCATCACAAAATTACCTAAAAACCCGGAGGAAAGAATATACAGAGTTCAGCTCCCACCAAGCAAGTTAAGGGTCTTTTCAGCTTTTGAAATTATTCTCCAGAATACCAAAGGAATGCTTTTAAAAACAATAGCTGATAGTGGAGGGTAGAAGATGACACTGGCAATCTAAAAGTAATACTTTTTGCTTTACCTACTAAGTCCAACAAGATCTGTCAGTGGCCAGTGCATGTCTTCATATGTCAGTTCACAAGTCAGCTGTATCTGCATGCAAACGACACGGCTACATCATTTCTGCTCAGACTGCTTGCAAGGCACCCTGTGAAACTGTCTACTGGGATATCAAGGAACCTGCATGGAACTTCTAAATCAGACTACAATTATGTTTATCATAAGACATTAAAAGATGAGAGAAACACCAAGATATTTTGTCAAACTGTATTAATACATTTGTAATTTTAAAAGGACAAGTTATAAAACCCGTGGACGTGCAGTATGAAATTCCATTCCACGTTGCTCAAAGCATCAACACAAAGTAAAGTTAGACAAGGCAAACATACACTCCCAGCAGTGGAGTAGTTTAAGGCAGAAATTCTAATGATGGAACAATGACAAAGAAAAAAGCCACTGGGGTATTACATGAATTAGGCTGTTCAGATGCAGTAGAAGCTCCCAAAGGTAAAGATTTCTCAATGTTAAAATAGGATTATTTTAAAAGCTGAAAACATAGAAATAAAAATAAAAAACTGGGCCTATCATCTTCTTAGCTATCACAAGGCACTTTCTCCATTCCCAGCTTTGGTTCATTCTGTATCACTTATCTTTGATGGCTCCGTTACAAGCAACAAGAAATCTGTTGCACATCTGCAGATTTGGAGGTGAGTGGTTATTAAAGAATTTTTTGTAGCTTTCATAAATCTAGACTATCATACATAATATGACATTCAGTGTAACAGGAGACTTCAAGCTCACAGTACGTAGACTTTATCCTTATTAATGGCCAGGATACCACTCATCAAAAAATCTGTTTCAGTCAGCCTGTGGAATAAAGTTTATTTCCCGTAAAAGGCTAAAGCTGCTAAACAAAAGCAGGAAGCTAAACAGTAATGAAAACACAACACATTTCTAACTGAGGCGTATTAGCTTGCAGTCAGCTACAGCATATCAGTTCCGCATTTCTGAGTCAGCTGAAATAGAAACAGTTGCTCTTGATTGTCAGAATACAAGGCACGCTGTGGTTAAATTTTACCAGGCTTCTCCAGCATGCAGAAAACCTTCATGCCACTGGATTTCACATCACAGCATTTTCAGTAGAAACCTATTTACATTTGAAAAACATTCCCAGAACACCATTCCTATTTACATTGAAAACCATACCTCCTCCGTGTACTGCTCCAAATTAAGATGAAAAATTGCAACTTGGAACTGGATCCCTGGAAGTAGTTCACTTCTTTATTTGAGTTCATAACCTACTAACGTTACAAGCGACGTAAAAGGTAACTTTAGACATACTCCTTGTTGCTTATGACTGTCTCGGAGTCTTTGGTGTAAATGCGGTGCTGCTGAGCTGCCTGCCCTGCTGAATATGCGTATTTGTTGCAACTGTAAATTAAGGAGAAAAAAGATACAAAATGAGAAGTATTACACACCCCCCCACAGTTTCAGATACTTAAGACGTTACTCATTTGGGTCTGTATCCAACCCACCAATAGCACACACTTCACAAAGGTGCAGAAATCAGAGGCCTATTGTTCTCATCAGTCGGGTAGCTAAGGGAAGAGATGGGCTCTGTGCCAGGCAGCACAACCATCCCTCTCCTACCCAGAAACACACCGGATTCCTAACTCACATGCACTCTTCCTCCAGGCATTTTAGTCAAGTCCCTAAAGCAGAAGAGAACCTAGACCTTAATGCCTTTGAACAAGCTGCAGTTTTTAATACAGGAATCAAGATGATGAGAAAAAAACCGTAAGTATGTTCAGCCAGCCCCTTCAGCTGCCATTTGTCATGTTGAACTCCTATTTCATAGGTCAGTTTTACCTGATTTTCAAGGCATTTCAGGATATTTGTTACTTTGTCTCAAAGTATGGTGAGAGATTTAAAGTCCAATGTGGCTGATGAAATATAACCATAAAACTGAAATGGTTTCAGATTAGGTGATGGAGTAGCAGAGGAACACTCTCACTTATTACGTGTTTTGACATAACTCTCCTAAGATTAAAACCAGCAGCAGTGAACATGCTTCTCCCCTTCATATTATCATCCTCTCAAGCTTAGTCAGTACAGCCCCCACGCCATTTGGGTTCCTCTGGGTAGACATGGACCTCTGCTGTTTCTGACAATTTTATCCCTCTCCTTCAGAAGGTGTGAATAATTTAAGATTGAAAAAAAAAAATCCAGTTGAGGTTAAACATTGAGGCCAGAAATCTCACCTTCTCTAATTTGATGTGCAACAACACATTTCCATAAGGAACAAGGAAAAAAATAACTTCTAATGATCGATTGGATATGCTTTGGGAAGGAAATGCTATTACACTATCTGCAAATTAAATGGCATTTGAACATTTTAATAGTAGTGAGTATTGCAGAGAAATTTTATTATAATACACTATATTCTTTGATATACTTTTCTTTTGGCAACAGATAGTTCGCTCTTCCGTGGCACATTTTCATCATGTAGATCTTAGAACCAACAGCAGCACCCGGAATTACCAAATACTAGTTATAAGTAACTACTGATGGCAAAGTATCAACAAATACGCCAGGAGGTACAAGTATTTGGTATAGCATCCCCTGCCATCACAAGTCTGGGACATGCCCCAGCACTGAATTAGTAGGTACAATTTCCTGTTTGTAGTTTATACAGCTACAGATTTATACCAGGGGGTGACAGATAAACAGATTTCTCTGTGTATCTCTATCACAGATACAGAGGTACCAGGGGCACACACATAGAAAATGGTATATAATTGACAGCTACTATTTCAACTGGCAAATCCAAGATTACCTGTAATCCTGCTTTTTCTTCCCTTTGCATGAACAGGTCAGTAAGATCCCACCAACGATGTAAAGAACAGATCCAGCCCAGCCTAAGTACAGAGCATCTCCTAGTTCATACCTGAAACGTGAAAGATTTTATGGAAACAGCATGTCACAGGATCACAAAGCCATTATTTTAGACCAAGACACAAGGTGCACAAGTCATGCAAATAAACAAATTCTAGTCTTTGTAGAAATCAGCTAACTGATCAGAGAGGAGAAAAGATCTGGCTTTGTATCTCTTCAGTAAAGCTCTTCTATGTATATTTGTTCTGCCAAATTAGTGACAGTACAGAAAGTACCAAGCAATAAAAAGATAAGCAGCAATAAATACTTGCATACATTTAACAAATTGTTGATAATAAATTACAATAAATGATAACTGCTTCTGTGCAGTCCACAACAGTTATTTTGCCCTTGTGTTAGTTGTGACACTGAAGTCATTTTCTGAAACTGAATGACTGGACCTTGCTGCCTGTGTCATGAGAAAAGGCTAACCATAGAAACTAGATTTCTATGGACATGACCCTAGATCACCTACCAGCAGCTACTTGTATAGGGCTACTTTTCCAACTTATGTATCCTAAAGAATATTCAGAAGTCTCTGTAGTTCTATGGCTGAAATACATTTATGAACAGTTCCAGGTTGGAAAAGAATAGTTCTGCATTTTACTGTACAACTAGTGTTGTACCCCTTGCAGGAAACCCCCTAGTCCAGTCCAAGGAATTCACTGATAATGAATTCGACCCAAAGACTAGACACAATTGAGCCTGGGAAATCGTGGCAGGAATTTTGCAAAAAGAGGAAAACAAGTTCCTATATTCAGACAAAGACTATATCCACAATACAGCTGTATCTCTGTGGTCTGAGAAACCAAATGTAAGGGCAAAATAAGTGTCATGGATTGTGTAGAAGGTGTGCTGAAACCAGACACATGTGGTTTCTTTCCACTTGTAAACACAAAATCATTATTTAAAAGTGTCCAAATATCTGACTCCAGAATTAATTGCTAACAGGAAGGTTTCAGAGGTTTATACAGGTTCACTGCCCTCTGTGTTCTCATCGCACAGTGGAGCTGCAAGGTCTCCACTGTTTTAGGCACTTTCCAAACACAGAATAAGGAAACAATTGATATCTCAAAAAAAAACCCCCAAAAAAGCAAAAAACACTGGAGTACAAGCTGCTGGAGGAATACTAAGGAACAATCAGAGTGCTGCCCAGTGCCTGCAGAGGTCTCTGCTCCCTAGTCACCTATAGATAGGAATGCCATAGGCATTGTACCAAAGGAAAGTATAGGGATCTGCAGGAGAACTTAGGTTGGCTTCACAGCTGTATAAGAAATTCCTCTAAAAATTAATAGTAGTTAACATACTATTTTGCTGAAATCAGGCCAAAAAAACCCCACAAACCACCTCCTCCTCACTCAGACTTGCCAGTCTCTTAAGAGTGAAGATCAATACTGCCTGCAATTGAATTTAGACCTATCTCACGGAGTCCAAGGAGCACAGGCTTCCGCAAGAGCATGTCTGGCTTCACCAATGACCCAAAGTTAATTCATTAAGAACTGCTTAGTGAATCAATAGTCTTAACCAGGAAGCTCAGATATTAAAAAAATAAAAAATTCTTTAGCTACTGAATCCAAACCATCTGGTAACTGATTAACATGCATTGATGTCGAAGCCCCAAAGCTATACCAGATAATTATACAACTCCCTAACTATCCCACTAACTGAAATTCCTTATCAACGGTAGTTTCGGCCCTCTAACATATTTATTACCCTTCATATAATTCACTCAAGGGGATATAAAACAACAAAAAGTATTCACAAATGCAATTTCTTTGGACGTGCTTGCTTGAAAATACAAGGAAAACTGACAAACATCCGAAGCAATTGCTTAAAGTACTTTGATTCTTAGCAAAGCACTTCACCTCTGACTTCCCAGAATTGATTGTCAGGAGGAAACTAACAAAACACTTCAAATATGATCCTAGCAACTAAAGATTTACAGTTTACTAATCTAAACATTATATACTCGGTAGCGGTACCAGCAAATTATAAATGTCCTCTTTTCCCCAAACCAGCTCTCTCATTTTCCACAGGCAATATATTATGTTGCCCTCTCCCTTTCCCCCCTGCTCTCTGGAGGAGGGGCCCGGTCACCTCCACCCTTGTTCCTCATTGCTAAATCTAATGACCTAGATAAGGTGCCATAAGCGGGCATTTGGTTTTGAAGACTGTTGCTTTTATATCAGACAAGAATAAGGGCTTTTATACCTCGAAACTTGTTTGTGCGCAACTGTATGAGCTGATAGTCCCACAAACTTTGCCTCATTTTCATTCATAAGGCAAACAAGTGTTGAGCTGTTAATATATAGTGAAAGATATTTTTTTACTTCTTTAGGACAAGCAGCATGCTTTAGTGACGTTTCTCAGTTATCTGCAGGTCACTAGTCTGCAGTTCAAGCTGGTTTCTGTACGTTTTTTCATGTGCTTGAACATCTAAGGCACTGTATTCCAGCCATAGCTAGAGTTTTGTACCTCTTTTGGTCTAAACACTAAAGAAAATTAAGACTTTTACCTTTTCGTCTTCATAGCATTGAGATGTGCACTTAACTGAGTCTCACAAGAAAATGTAAACACGGTACAGAAACTCCTCAGATGTGGGGTTCATATTCCCCAGCCATTCACTAAACCTTCCAGTAGAGAACTCTCCTCCCTCCCCACCAACATCTCTGAGATGAAAAAATTGCCTGAAGACAAATTTTTCTCCTTTTATGGATTGGATAATGGGATCCATCCAGGTTGTGAAACTCCGGAGCAGCTGAGACTAGTGTAGCTGTCTGTAACATGATTGAGTTTGGTATGACAGATCTATTAACTTACTTGGTTCCAGCAAACAATGGGTCAAAAAATTGAGCCGTAACCATCGCAGCGTACCAAGAAACAGCCACCATGGAGCAGAGACCTACCAGAAAAAGTTTAAAACACACACAGGTGAATGATTCCTTTAACACTGTAGCAGCTTTAAATCAAGAACAAGTGTTCATTCCATTTAGTCTAGCTGTGAAAGTAATACAAAGTATTGATAGCATTCTCATTTCAGACTCAATATTACCTCCTAAAATAAAAAGAAATCCTCCTGTGACAGCAAACTTCATTTTTGCTTCTTCATCGCTCAACCCAACCTTTGTGCACTTCAAACCAAGCAGCGCGATCACTGCAGCTAGGAATCCCAAAAGGATGGAAGTAATCATCAAAGCACGGCATGCCTGAATGTGAACTGAGACAGAAAAAGAGAAAACAAATCAGGATCTATACAGAAATTAAATCAATCTTGTGCTGAAAAAATAAAAGTAACTAGAGGGAGTGACAAAATTAACATGAGTGAATCTTGTCCAACGTTGTTATTTGGTTCAGAGAAGCATCCAAACCCTAGAGTGCTTAGCCTTCAAGTCAATCAGAGTTCAGAGCTGAACTACACTTACACTTGATAAACTCAGTAAATCCTCTTGGGCCTTTAGTAAATCCTGAAAAATCACAGCAAGCCCTTCATAGCTTACATTTTTAAGTCCTGTGAAAATCCGTAGCTGTATATACGGTCATTTACAGGGCCAAAAATAAGAGTCCTACTCACAAGTCCTGGTGACTTTCTCACACGTGAGACACAGACAGACCCCCCTGAACTCCAGGCCCTAGCCAAGGACTGCAGGGCTCTGGCACCACAGAGGAATTGGAAAAACGGGCCAGTTTTGCTACTTCCAGTGAGAGATGGGAAACAAAGTGCTCAAGTTAGCAGTGCACTCTAAGCTCTGAGTGGGGCTAACAAATGGGAGACGAGCAGATCCAAGAGCTGCAGCACCCCTCTCCTCCCTGCCCTGAGGATACAGCTCCCGGTCTTCACATTTAAGTATTGATTGCACAAAAACCAAGACCAGATTATTAACCAGCCTAAGAAGGAAACTCAGACAGGGACTTAAGTCTTCTTTAAAGCAGGACCCTGGATTTAGCTGGTTCCAGGTCAAATGGTACCTTCGTGATACGACAAACGTGCCAAGTGTCACCAATCTGGCAGATTTGGCTGCTAACTTTGTTGGACTCCATGATCTTAAAGTTTTGTTTCCAATCTAAATGATTCTATGAGCCCAACCACACATCAAAAGGGTCTGCACTGGGCTGCATCTGGACAGTCACATCGTTGATGCAAGTGTTCAAGCTCTTGCTCCCTGATCACCTCCATGTCCTCCACGATAACCTGCTCCTAGCTCTCTGGTGGAATGAGCCCATAACTCTCCCAACAGTAAAAATCAGGCACAGAAACAGGAGGCGAAGTAACAGATTGACCCTCAGACAGGGGCTGTGTAACTTTATGTGGCCTATGAGTACTGGTCCTGCAAGCTTGAGAGTTATCACAGGCAGTAAGAAGCAGCCATGAGATAAACACACAGAATTAAAGGATAACATCATTTGAGGAATTAATGTTTCGTTAAGCATTAATTTTAAAATTTTCAGGGGAAAAAAATACAGACAAATAAAAGTGAAAAGACCCCTCAAAATACCATTAAGAGTTCAAGGCTTTTGCCTGCAGAAGATACAGTTTGGACAACCATTCAACTCCAGGATAACATCATTTGAGGAATTAATGTTTCATTAAGCATTAATTTTAAAATGTTCAGGGAAAAGAGATACAGACAAATAAAAATGAAAACACCCTTCAAAATACCATTAAGAGTTGAAGGCTTTTGCCTGCAGAAGATACGGTTTGGACAACTCTGATGCTGCTTTCTAGTTTGGGACCTTCCCCCACGATAGCAGGAATAACCCACAGCAGGGATCCAACAACTTACGTTTCAGGTCTTTGGGATTCCTGTAGTATTAGATGGGACTCCCCATATCTTTCTAGAAGGCACAAGCACAGTCTCAGGCTAACTGCTTGCAAGCCAATGGTTGTATTACTTTAACAGAAGAGATTTTGTACATGTCATTTTTGTACCACAATACGGTAACTTCAACAGCCTTAACTGAGGAGATTATTCCATAGCCCAGAAAGTTCAGCCAATGGTTGTATTACTTTAACAGAAGAGACTTCGTACCATGTCGTTTTTGCACCACAATACAATAACTTCAACAGCCTTAACTAAGGAGATTATTCCATAGCCCAGAAAGTTCCATTTTTAGTTGTCTTCATCTTAGAAAATGAGCTTATTGAACAAGATACAAAGTCAGTTAATTTTATCAATCAGTACTAATTGTAAGAAATTATCCCCAAATCGTGTCATTGGAAAAACATCTATGGAATCTTAACAAGAAGAAAAGAAAAGAAAAAAAAAAAAAGAGTTTAAAAAGTATTTGGCAGCTAAGAAATTCCTTTATATCAAATGTTTGATGTTGGTGTGACTAGAAAGTAGCCAGTCATGGTCTCAATCTTATGCAACACTGCTTTTAAAAAGGTCCTCACTTCAAACGTTTGTGATTTGGGCTAATGGCTTGCTGAATTCAAAAGCTTTACATTTGGTTAAAAGAACCAAGTCTGATCTTTCCCGTGCACAAAACAAAAACCAGAGATATATCATATAGCTCAGATGCCAATAAGGAAACCTTAATGGAAAATCTTTATGATCCCTCTGGTGAGAGGTAACAAAGACACTTTTGTTTTTTCTTTTTTTTTCCCCTCCCACCAATCCCTGGCATCTGCTGCTGCAGCAGCAGTTTCAGCTGTTTCTAAAGAGCAATTTGAAACACACCTAAACTAACCCTGATAATTTTTAGCCTGCCTCGGCTAACATCTGCAAGGGCTACAGGCATTTCTTGGAGGTCCCACTGTTTGTTCAGCCCTCATTGCTACCAGCCCCATTTTCTTCCTCCTCCCTGGTTTGCCCAACTGCCCTCTTGGCTTTTTCTACAATTCAGTGTCTTCTAACTTGTTTCTTTTTCAGGTCTCAGTTCTAAAACCATTTTTTCTCTACAATTCTGTAAGCTGCTTTTCCCTTCCCCCTGCCTATACTCCTCAAATATACTGCCATCTTCTCAACAGCATAACCAATCTCCTCTTCAACTGATCAAATTTAATCTTCACAAATTCCCTTTCCAAGCCTGGCCTATTCATTTACTTTCTGTCTGGCCCCATTTTTTCTCCTTCCTGCTGACTCCACATTGTTACTCACAATTCTCCAGGAGCCTTGCTGTTTCTTGCCTTCCTTTCTCTTTTGCTTTAGCACATCTACTCATGATGCTCTTTTCTGTCCATCCACCCCCCGCCCCTCCAACTTCTTTAAAACCTACTTTTTTCTCAGCAGCTCCAAGATGCTGACCTGATGTGGCCCCGTTGTCCACATGTGCACACATGGAAGCTCTATGACACTCTCAGAGGCAACACCCCATTTAAATACATCAATGCCAAGATGCTGCCTAGGGTCAGTAAGGTGGTCAGTTGCAGTAAGTTGGCAGGGAGGTGATTTGAGACAGCCAGCATAGCTTCACCAAGGGCAACTCCTGCCTGGCCAACCTCAAAACCAAAGATAATCTTCTCAAAAATTTAGAGGGAAAAAAAATAGAATCTGTTTGCATGATACCAGCCCTTGCTTCTGCAATGTCTCTCCTTTTCCCCAGGCTGTGAAGGCTGCCAGACCAGTAGCAGAACCCAATGCAGGATTTTGGTCCCAGCTGCAGAGATATGAAGAAGATTTGCAGATACCAAAGCAGCCTGATCTGCTGAGCAAAGGACTTAAAAATAGCAATGTGTGAAGATGCTTTAAAGAGAGTTGAGTGGGTTGCTACAGATTTAAATAAGTTAAGGGAAAAAAAAGTTACTTCATACACTTCATATATCTCCTATAAATAAAATGCCTTACCCCCCAAATGGGGCTGATTAAATTAATTCAGAGCGTGACCACTGAAGGTGCCTGGGAAAGGGGCAGATAATCAGGAGAAACAGCAGAAAGGGCTGTAAACAAACCAGAGAAAGGCATGGCATCTTCAGCGTCTATTTCTTCCTGACCAACACTGAATATGATAAAAATGTATTGAACGAATTAATAAGTTACTACATAGGGGTTTTACTCTTGGTTTTTAACTGAACTTCTCAGTGACGTTACAAGAAGACCTAATGCCAGACCAAGGAAGTTTTGAATTTCTATCTCTCCTACTGGATCATAATTCACGTTCATGAGACGACACAAACTTTGGTGAGAAACCAACACTGGAAATGCTTAGTCTCTGCCTCAGTTCTGCATTTTCTTTATGTTCAACATAGACCAAAAACACCATCACAAAATTACCTAAAAACCCGGAGGAAAGAATATACAGAGTTCAGCTCCCACCAAGCAAGTTAAGGGTCTTTTCAGCTTTTGAAATTATTCTCCAGAATACCAAAGGAATGCTTTTAAAAACAATAGCTGATAGTGGAGGGTAGAAGATGACACTGGCAATCTAAAAGTAATACTTTTTGCTTTACCTACTAAGTCCAACAAGATCTGTCAGTGGCCAGTGCATGTCTTCATATGTCAGTTCACAAGTCAGCTGTATCTGCATGCAAACGACACGGCTACATCATTTCTGCTCAGACTGCTTGCAAGGCACCCTGTGAAACTGTCTACTGGGATATCAAGGAACCTGCATGGAACTTCTAAATCAGACTACAATTATGTTTATCATAAGACATTAAAAGATGAGAGAAACACCAAGATATTTTGTCAAACTGTATTAATACATTTGTAATTTTAAAAGGACAAGTTATAAAACCCGTGGACGTGCAGTATGAAATTCCATTCCACGTTGCTCAAAGCATCAACACAAAGTAAAGTTAGACAAGGCAAACATACACTCCCAGCAGTGGAGTAGTTTAAGGCAGAAATTCTAATGATGGAACAATGACAAAGAAAAAAGCCACTGGGGTATTACATGAATTAGGCTGTTCAGATGCAGTAGAAGCTCCCAAAGGTAAAGATTTCTCAATGTTAAAATAGGATTATTTTAAAAGCTGAAAACATAGAAATAAAAATAAAAAACTGGGCCTATCATCTTCTTAGCTATCACAAGGCACTTTCTCCATTCCCAGCTTTGGTTCATTCTGTATCACTTATCTTTGATGGCTCCGTTACAAGCAACAAGAAATCTGTTGCACATCTGCAGATTTGGAGGTGAGTGGTTATTAAAGAATTTTTTGTAGCTTTCATAAATCTAGACTATCATACATAATATGACATTCAGTGTAACAGGAGACTTCAAGCTCACAGTACGTAGACTTTATCCTTATTAATGGCCAGGATACCACTCATCAAAAAATCTGTTTCAGTCAGCCTGTGGAATAAAGTTTATTTCCCGTAAAAGGCTAAAGCTGCTAAACAAAAGCAGGAAGCTAAACAGTAATGAAAACACAACACATTTCTAACTGAGGCGTATTAGCTTGCAGTCAGCTACAGCATATCAGTTCCGCATTTCTGAGTCAGCTGAAATAGAAACAGTTGCTCTTGATTGTCAGAATACAAGGCACGCTGTGGTTAAATTTTACCAGGCTTCTCCAGCATGCAGAAAACCTTCATGCCACTGGATTTCACATCACAGCATTTTCAGTAGAAACCTATTTACATTTGAAAAACATTCCCAGAACACCATTCCTATTTACATTGAAAACCATACCTCCTCCGTGTACTGCTCCAAATTAAGATGAAAAATTGCAACTTGGAACTGGATCCCTGGAAGTAGTTCACTTCTTTATTTGAGTTCATAACCTACTAACGTTACAAGCGACGTAAAAGGTAACTTTAGACATACTCCTTGTTGCTTATGACTGTCTCGGAGTCTTTGGTGTAAATGCGGTGCTGCTGAGCTGCCTGCCCTGCTGAATATGCGTATTTGTTGCAACTGTAAATTAAGGAGAAAAAAGATACAAAATGAGAAGTATTACACACCCCCCCACAGTTTCAGATACTTAAGACGTTACTCATTTGGGTCTGTATCCAACCCACCAATAGCACACACTTCACAAAGGTGCAGAAATCAGAGGCCTATTGTTCTCATCAGTCGGGTAGCTAAGGGAAGAGATGGGCTCTGTGCCAGGCAGCACAACCATCCCTCTCCTACCCAGAAACACACCGGATTCCTAACTCACATGCACTCTTCCTCCAGGCATTTTAGTCAAGTCCCTAAAGCAGAAGAGAACCTAGACCTTAATGCCTTTGAACAAGCTGCAGTTTTTAATACAGGAATCAAGATGATGAGAAAAAAACCGTAAGTATGTTCAGCCAGCCCCTTCAGCTGCCATTTGTCATGTTGAACTCCTATTTCATAGGTCAGTTTTACCTGATTTTCAAGGCATTTCAGGATATTCATTACTTTGTCTCAAAGTATGGTGAGAGATTTAAAGTCCAATGTGGCTGATGAAATATAACCATAAAACTGAAATGGTTTCAGATTAGGTGATGGAGTAGCAGAGGAACACTCTCACTTATTACGTGTTTTGACATAACTCTCCTAAGATTAAAACCAGCAGCAGTGAACATGCTTCTCCCCTTCATATTATCATCCTCTCAAGCTTAGTCAGTACAGCCCCCACGCCATTTGGGTTCCTCTGGGTAGACATGGACCTCTGCTGTTTCTGACAATTTTATCCCTCTCCTTCAGAAGGTGTGAATAATTTAAGATTGAAAAAAAAAAATCCAGTTGAGGTTAAACATTGAGGCCAGAAATCTCACCTTCTCTAATTTGATGTGCAACAACACATTTCCATAAGGAACAAGGAAAAAAATAACTTCTAATGATCGATTGGATATGCTTTGGGAAGGAAATGCTATTACACTATCTGCAAATTAAATGGCATTTGAACATTTTAATAGTAGTGAGTATTGCAGAGAAATTTTATTATAATACACTATATTCTTTGATATACTTTTCTTTTGGCAACAGATAGTTCGCTCTTCCGTGGCACATTTTCATCATGTAGATCTTAGAACCAACAGCAGCACCCGGAATTACCAAATACTAGTTATAAGTAACTACTGATGGCAAAGTATCAACAAATACGCCAGGAGGTACAAGTATTTGGTATAGCATCCCCTGCCATCACAAGTCTGGGACATGCCCCAGCACTGAATTAGTAGGTACAATTTCCTGTTTGTAGTTTATACAGCTACAGATTTATACCAGGGGGTGACAGATAAACAGATTTCTCTGTGTATCTCTATCACAGATACAGAGGTACCAGGGGCACACACATAGAAAATGGTATATAATTGACAGCTACTATTTCAACTGGCAAATCCAAGATTACCTGTAATCCTGCTTTTTCTTCCCTTTGCATGAACAGGTCAGTAAGATCCCACCAACGATGTAAAGAACAGATCCAGCCCAGCCTAAGTACAGAGCATCTCCTAGTTCATACCTGAAACGTGAAAGATTTTATGGAAACAGCATGTCACAGGATCACAAAGCCATTATTTTAGACCAAGACACAAGGTGCACAAGTCATGCAAATAAACAAATTCTAGTCTTTGTAGAAATCAGCTAACTGATCAGAGAGGAGAAAAGATCTGGCTTTGTATCTCTTCAGTAAAGCTCTTCTATGTATATTTGTTCTGCCAAATTAGTGACAGTACAGAAAGTACCAAGCAATAAAAAGATAAGCAGCAATAAATACTTGCATACATTTAACAAATTGTTGATAATAAATTACAATAAATGATAACTGCTTCTGTGCAGTCCACAACAGTTATTTTGCCCTTGTGTTAGTTGTGACACTGAAGTCATTTTCTGAAACTGAATGACTGGACCTTGCTGCCTGTGTCATGAGAAAAGGCTAACCATAGAAACTAGATTTCTATGGACATGACCCTAGATCACCTACCAGCAGCTACTTGTATAGGGCTACTTTTCCAACTTATGTATCCTAAAGAATATTCAGAAGTCTCTGTAGTTCTATGGCTGAAATACATTTATGAACAGTTCCAGGTTGGAAAAGAATAGTTCTGCATTTTACTGTACAACTAGTGTTGTACCCCTTGCAGGAAACCCCCTAGTCCAGTCCAAGGAATTCACTGATAATGAATTCGACCCAAAGACTAGACACAATTGAGCCTGGGAAATCGTGGCAGGAATTTTGCAAAAAGAGGAAAACAAGTTCCTATATTCAGACAAAGACTATATCCACAATACAGCTGTATCTCTGTGGTCTGAGAAACCAAATGTGAGGGCAAAATAAGTGTCATGGATTGTGTAGAAGGTGTGCTGAAACCAGACACATGTGGTTTCTTTCCACTTGTAAACACAAAATCATTATTTAAAAGTGTCCAAATATCTGACTCCAGAATTAATTGCTAACAGGAAGGTTTCAGAGGTTTATACAGGTTCACTGCCCTCTGTGTTCTCATCGCACAGTGGAGCTGCAAGGTCTCCACTGTTTTAGGCACTTTCCAAACACAGAATAAGGAAACAATTGATATCTCAAAAAAAAACCCCCAAAAAAGCAAAAAACACTGGAGTACAAGCTGCTGGAGGAATACTAAGGAACAATCAGAGTGCTGCCCAGTGCCTGCAGAGGTCTCTGCTCCCTAGTCACCTATAGATAGGAATGCCATAGGCATTGTACCAAAGGAAAGTATAGGGATCTGCAGGAGAACTTAGGTTGGCTTCACAGCTGTATAAGAAATTCCTCTAAAAATTAATAGTAGTTAACATACTATTTTGCTGAAATCAGGCCAAAAAAACCCCACAAACCACCTCCTCCTCACTCAGACTTGCCAGTCTCTTAAGAGTGAAGATCAATACTGCCTGCAATTGAATTTAGACCTATCTCACGGAGTCCAAGGAGCACAGGCTTCCGCAAGAGCATGTCTGGCTTCACCAATGACCCAAAGTTAATTCATTAAGAACTGCTTAGTGAATCAATAGTCTTAACCAGGAAGCTCAGATATTAAAAAAATAAAAAATTCTTTAGCTACTGAATCCAAACCATCTGGTAACTGATTAACATGCATTGATGTCGAAGCCCCAAAGCTATACCAGATAATTATACAACTCCCTAACTATCCCACTAACTGAAATTCCTTATCAACGGTAGTTTCGGCCCTCTAACATATTTATTACCCTTCATATAATTCACTCAAGGGGATATAAAACAACAAAAAGTATTCACAAATGCAATTTCTTTGGACGTGCTTGCTTGAAAATACAAGGAAAACTGACAAACATCCGAAGCAATTGCTTAAAGTACTTTGATTCTTAGCAAAGCACTTCACCTCTGACTTCCCAGAATTGATTGTCAGGAGGAAACTAACAAAACACTTCAAATATGATCCTAGCAACTAAAGATTTACAGTTTACTAATCTAAACATTATATACTCGGTAGCGGTACCAGCAAATTATAAATGTCCTCTTTTCCCCAAACCAGCTCTCTCATTTTCCACAGGCAATATATTATGTTGCCCTCTCCCTTTCCCCCCTGCTCTCTGGAGGAGGGGCCCGGTCACCTCCACCCTTGTTCCTCATTGCTAAATCTAATGACCTAGATAAGGTGCCATAAGCGGGCATTTGGTTTTGAAGACTGTTGCTTTTATATCAGACAAGAATAAGGGCTTTTATACCTCGAAACTTGTTTGTGCGCAACTGTATGAGCTGATAGTCCCACAAACTTTGCCTCATTTTCATTCATAAGGCAAACAAGTGTTGAGCTGTTAATATATAGTGAAAGATATTTTTTTACTTCTTTAGGACAAGCAGCATGCTTTAGTGACGTTTCTCAGTTATCTGCAGGTCACTAGTCTGCAGTTCAAGCTGGTTTCTGTACGTTTTTTCATGTGCTTGAACATCTAAGGCACTGTATTCCAGCCATAGCTAGAGTTTTGTACCTCTTTTGGTCTAAACACTAAAGAAAATTAAGACTTTTACCTTTTCGTCTTCATAGCATTGAGATGTGCACTTAACTGAGTCTCACAAGAAAATGTAAACACGGTACAGAAACTCCTCAGATGTGGGGTTGATATTCCCCAGCCATTCACTAAACCTTCCAGTAGAGAACTCTCCTCCCTCCCCACCAACATCTCTGAGATGAAAAAATTGCCTGAAGACAAATTTTTCTCCTTTTATGGATTGGATAATGGGATCCATCCAGGTTGTGAAACTCCGGAGCAGCTGAGACTAGTGTAGCTGTCTGTAACATGATTGAGTTTGGTATGACAGATCTATTAACTTACTTGGTTCCAGCAAACAATGGGTCAAAAAATTGAGCCGTAACCATCGCAGCGTACCAAGAAACAGCCACCATGGAGCAGAGACCTACCAGAAAAAGTTTAAAACACACACAGGTGAATGATTCCTTTAACACTGTAGCAGCTTTAAATCAAGAACAAGTGTTCATTCCATTTAGTCTAGCTGTGAAAGTAATACAAAGTATTGATAGCATTCTCATTTCAGACTCAATATTACCTCCTAAAATAAAAAGAAATCCTCCTGTGACAGCAAACTTCATTTTTGCTTCTTCATCGCTCAACCCAACCTTTGTGCACTTCAAACCAAGCAGCGCGATCACTGCAGCTAGGAATCCCAAAAGGATGGAAGTAATCATCAAAGCACGGCATGCCTGAATGTGAACTGAGACAGAAAAAGAGAAAACAAATCAGGATCTATACAGAAATTAAATCAATCTTGTGCTGAAAAAATAAAAGTAACTAGAGGGAGTGACAAAATTAACATGAGTGAATCTTGTCCAACGTTGTTATTTGGTTCAGAGAAGCATCCAAACCCTAGAGTGCTTAGCCTTCAAGTCAATCAGAGTTCAGAGCTGAACTACACTTACACTTGATAAACTCAGTAAATCCTCTTGGGCCTTTAGTAAATCCTGAAAAATCACAGCAAGCCCTTCATAGCTTACATTTTTAAGTCCTGTGAAAATCCGTAGCTGTATATACGGTCATTTACAGGGCCAAAAATAAGAGTCCTACTCACAAGTCCTGGTGACTTTCTCACACGTGAGACACAGACAGACCCCCCTGAACTCCAGGCCCTAGCCAAGGACTGCAGGGCTCTGGCACCACAGAGGAATTGGAAAAACGGGCCAGTTTTGCTACTTCCAGTGAGAGATGGGAAACAAAGTGCTCAAGTTAGCAGTGCACTCTAAGCTCTGAGTGGGGCTAACAAATGGGAGACGAGCAGATCCAAGAGCTGCAGCACCCCTCTCCTCCCTGCCCTGAGGATACAGCTCCCGGTCTTCACATTTAAGTATTGATTGCACAAAAACCAAGACCAGATTATTAACCAGCCTAAGAAGGAAACTCAGACAGGGACTTAAGTCTTCTTTAAAGCAGGACCCTGGATTTAGCTGGTTCCAGGTCAAATGGTACCTTCGTGATACGACAAACGTGCCAAGTGTCACCAATCTGGCAGATTTGGCTGCTAACTTTGTTGGACTCCATGATCTTAAAGTTTTGTTTCCAATCTAAATGATTCTATGAGCCCAACCACACATCAAAAGGGTCTGCACTGGGCTGCATCTGGACAGTCACATCGTTGATGCAAGTGTTCAAGCTCTTGCTCCCTGATCACCTCCATGTCCTCCACGATAACCTGCTCCTAGCTCTCTGGTGGAATGAGCCCATAACTCTCCCAACAGTAAAAATCAGGCACAGAAACAGGAGGCGAAGTAACAGATTGACCCTCAGACAGGGGCTGTGTAACTTTATGTGGCCTATGAGTACTGGTCCTGCAAGCTTGAGAGTTATCCTAGGCAATAAGAAGCAGCCATGAGATAAATACATAGAATTAAAGGATAACATCATTTGAGGAATTAATGTTTCGTTAAGCATTAATTTTAAAATTTTCAGGGGAAAAAAATACAGACAAATAAAAGTGAAAAGACCCCTCAAAATACCATTAAGAGTTCAAGGCTTTTGCCTGCAGAAGATACAGTTTGGACAACCATTCAACTCCGATGCTGCTTTCTAGTTTGGGACCTTCCCCCACGATAGCAGGAATAACCCACAGCAGGGATCCAACAACTTACGTTTCAGGTCTTTGGGATTCCTGTAGTATTAGATGGGACTCCCCATATCTTTCTAGAAGGCACAAGCACAGTCTCAGGCTAACTGCTTGCAAGCCAATGGTTGTATTACTTTAACAGAAGAGACTTCGTACCATGTCGTTTTTGCACCACAATACAATAACTTCAACAGCCTTAACTAAGGAGATTATTCCATAGCCCAGAAAGTTCCATTTTTAGTTGTCTTCATCTTAGAAAATGAGCTTATTGAACAAGATACAAAGTCAGTTAATTTTATCAATCAGTACTAATTGTAAGAAATTATCCCCAAATCGTGTCATTGGAAAAACATCTATGGAATCTTAACAAGAAGAAAAGAAAAGAAAAAAAAAAAAGAGTTTAAAAAGTATTTGGCAGCTAAGAAATTCCTTTATATCAAATGTTTGATGTTGGTGTGACTAGAAAGTAGCCAGTCATGGTCTCAATCTTATGCAACACTGCTTTTAAAAAGGTCCTCACTTCAAACGTTTGTGATTTGGGCTAATGGCTTGCTGAATTCAAAAGCTTTACATTTGGTTAAAAGAACCAAGTCTGATCTTTCCCGTGCACAAAACAAAAACCAGAGATATATCATATAGCTCAGATGCCAATAAGGAAACCTTAATGGAAAATCTTTATGATCCCTCTGGTGAGAGGTAACAAAGACACTTTTGTTTTTTCTTTTTTTTTCCCCTCCCACCAATCCCTGGCATCTGCTGCTGCAGCAGCAGTTTCAGCTGTTTCTAAAGAGCAATTTGAAACACACCTAAACTAACCCTGATAATTTTTAGCCTGCCTCGGCTAACATCTGCAAGGGCTACAGGCATTTCTTGGAGGTCCCACTGTTTGTTCAGCCCTCATTGCTACCAGCCCCATTTTCTTCCTCCTCCCTGGTTTGCCCAACTGCCCTCTTGGCTTTTTCTACAATTCAGTGTCTTCTAACTTGTTTCTTTTTCAGGTCTCAGTTCTAAAACCATTTTTTCTCTACAATTCTGTAAGCTGCTTTTCCCTTCCCCCTGCCTATACTCCTCAAATATACTGCCATCTTCTCAACAGCATAACCAATCTCCTCTTCAACTGATCAAATTTAATCTTCACAAATTCCCTTTCCAAGCCTGGCCTATTCATTTACTTTCTGTCTGGCCCCATTTTTTCTCCTTCCTGCTGACTCCACATTGTTACTCACAATTCTCCAGGAGCCTTGCTGTTTCTTGCCTTCCTTTCTCTTTTGCTTTAGCACATCTACTCATGATGCTCTTTTCTGTCCATCCACCCCCCGCCCCTCCAACTTCTTTAAAACCTACTTTTTTCTCAGCAGCTCCAAGATGCTGACCTGATGTGGCCCCGTTGTCCACATGTGCACACATGGAAGCTCTATGACACTCTCAGAGGCAACACCCCATTTAAATACATCAATGCCAAGATGCTGCCTAGGGTCAGTAAGGTGGTCAGTTAGCAGTAAGTTGGCAGGGAGGTGATTCGAGACAGCCAGCATAGCTTCACCAAGGGCAACTCCTGCCTGGCCAACCTCATGGCCCCCTGTGATAGAGTGACTACATCCGTGGACAAGGGAAGAGCTACAGATGTCATCTATCTGGACTTCTATAAGGCCTTTGACATGGTCCCTCACAACATCCTTCTAAATTGGTGAGACATGGATTTGAAGGGTGGACTGTTCAGGGATGAGGAACTGGTTGTATGGTCGCATCCAGAGGATAGCAGTCAACAGCTCAACGTCCAGATGGGGGTCAGTGACAAGTGGTGTCCCTCAGGGGTATGTACTAGGACTGGTACTGTTCAGTATCTTCATCAGTGACACAGACAGTGAGAACGAGCACACCCTCAGCAAGTTTGCTGATGACACCAAACTGAGTGGTGTGGTTGACATGCCTGAGGGGCTGGAAGCCATCCAGAGGGACCTGGACAAGCTCAAGAATTGGGCCCATGTGAACCTCATGAGATTCAACAAGGCTAAGTGCAGGGTCCTGCTCCTGGGGCAGGGCAACCCCCAGTATCAATACAGCCTGGGGGATGAAGGGACTGGGAGCAGCCCTGCTAAGAAGGACTTGGGGGTACTGGTGGATGAGAAGCTGGACATGAGCCTACAATGTGCGCTCGCAGCCCAAAAGGGCAACTGTATCCTGGGCTGCATCAAAAGAACCATGGTCAGCAGGTCAAGGGAGGTGATTCTGCCCCTCTATTCCACTCTGGTGAGACCCCACATGGAGTACTGCATCCAGCTCGGGAGCCCTCAGCTTAGGAAACACATGGCAGGGGTCTAGAGAAGGGCAACAAAGATGATCAGAGGGCTGGAGCACCTCTCCTAGAAGGACAGGCTGAGAGTTCAGGTTGTTCAGCCTGGAGAAGAGAAGGCTCAGGGGAGACCTTATTGCGCCTTTTCAGCACATAAAGGGGGCCTACAGGAAAGATGGGGACAAACATTTTAGCAGAGCCTGTTGCAATAGGACAAGGGCTAATGACTTTAAACTGAAAGAGGGTAGATTTAGACTAGATATAAGGAAGAAATTTTTTATGATGAGGGTGGTGAAACACTGGCCCAGGTCACCCGGAGAAGTGGTAGATGCCCTATCCTTGGAAAAACTCAAGGTCAGGTTGGACGGGGCTCTGAGGAACCTGATCTAGTTGAAGATGTCCCTGCTCATGGCAGGGCAAGTTGGACTAGATGCCCTTTTAAGGTCCCTTCCAACCCAAACTATTCTATGATTCTAAGTTATGAACCAACCCTTGAAGTGGTTTATATGTGAACCAAATGCACACTCCCATAAGCACTCTGCAGAGGGTAACTCTGCATGTCCGATGGACATGATCCTGCTATTGCTGAGTCTAAGAAGTTTAAATAGGGTTATGTTTCTCTTAATACACACATGCATTTTAAAACCAATTGTTAGATAACACTGAAAGATGAAAAGAACAGATTATTCCCTAAATACTGGACACAGACCATTACAGAGACTTGCTATGCTAGCTTCAGAGATGGTCAACACCACCAGTTTATTTCAGGCTGAGAGAGAAAGTGATTTAATACCTCATTCCCACTAATCCAATATTACACATTCTTCGGATTAGGAGTATCCTTCTACCTATTTAAGTTTAGCCACCTCCCAGTGTAGATTCAACTAAGTAGGATTCAATTTATTCTGGAATAAGTATCTACATTATTCAAGATTAATAAAAACTAGCTTTACTGTCTATAAATATGCTCACTATCCACAGAATACTGCCTTCGTTGAGCATTTGAGGACAATCCACAATTCTACCACAGACTGATACAGAGTACAGGAGCCAGCAGATCTAAATTTCCTGATATTTAGAATCACATCCAACAAAGCAGTAGTTAACTAGTCCTGACAAGTATATTAATTTATACCATATACTCATTGTATAACTCATATTATGTTATAAGACGAATAACATACCTTTATACCATATACTCATTGTATAACTCATAAGACGAATAACATACACTCATTGTATTTCTTGCATTATCTACCATCTTCAGTCTCAACATACAAGAAACACTACTGCTCCTTAACTATAAATAGTCTGTCTTGCCTAT